CCACTGCCTCAGATTTGCTAGAAGGTAGGCAGCCCAGCACTGCCTGCTTCGAAATTGACTTCTTCCTAAACTTACTTCCTGCCCTCCAGAGATCTGGAAAATGTGAAGGGCAAAACAAGATATTATATGAATCTATAGCCATAAACCTATTGACCAACTCTCGATGACCTCCTCCCCTGTTCCGAAGAGGAATCCCACCACGCATGAGGAGGTACGGTGCAGAGACAGACAGAGGGCCTGAAGCCCACGCACACCCTTTACCAGTTGGGTCCCCCCAACCCTACCTCAAGGTCTTTCAGCCCGAGCAAGCTGACCCTCCCCTGTACGGGGTCCAGCAGCTTCTTCTGCATGCTTGCTGGGAGGTGAAGGGATGCACTTATTACGCCGGCACTGTTTATCAGTCACAATCTGTCCCCTTATGTTTGGGCACCCGGAGGCAGCCACAACATAACTCGGGAACAGGGAAACTTGGTTTTCCTTACAGAGAAGTCTCCATCACAGTGCCATTGGTCAGGTTCTCCAGCTATAGTGCTTTCCCCACCATGAACGCCCTCCCTACCTCGGCCTCAGGCTCTCATCTCCAATGGAACTTCCTTAAACTCCAGACTGATTGTAGGGAGCGAGGTCCACCCACAGACTCCCAGCTCTACTGCACCCATCCAAGCATGTGGCGGCTTCACGTCCCATCTCGTAGCAGTCACAGGAGAGCAGTCACAGACACCTTCCCTCCTGCCCGGAGAGGCAAGGCTACAGGGGCAGGGGAGGGGAGACCAGATCCGAGGAGGGGGGGCATGGAGCAGTCTGGCTTCCTTGCCACAAGAAACCTCCACCTCAGGCCACGTTCACAGAGACACCCCCGCTGCTTACCCAACCACAGAGAAAGGTGTGGCCTCCACCCAAGCTTTCCTGCTGGCTGCCCATAGGTGGGACACTGCAGCGGGGTTCCGGAGAGCTGGCATGTCTGGAGCCCTCCCCCCAAAGGCAGCCCTTAATGTCATTCAAGGTTCTTCAGTCCGAGCCCAGATACACCGAACAAATCAATGCCAGAGGAATGGATGAAGGATAAAAGACAAAATAAAAACGTCAACGATTTTCTGGAGAGCAAGAAGACACTGCAGATTCCTGGTTCGATATATTTTCAAGGAGTATTTCTGCCTTCTACTTTTTCCTTATCCCCCCAACCCTCTAAACCATTTATTCGGTGTCTACTGCTCCCCAACACCTACTGCTGGCTTTTAGGTCGCCGCCACAAGGTGAAAATGATGATCCCCACCGTAAAGAGGAGAAACAGAGGGTCAGAGAGGTTCGGTAAATTAGTAAAGGTCACTAAGCAGAAGGGGTAGAGAGCTAAGGTCACTCAGTACCAGTAAGTGGATTCGTGCTTCTTCCTGTGAGCGTCCACCACCAGCTCAAAACACACTGCTGTTCCCCATGATGGACCAAATTAAAGATCAACAAGTCAGCCTGGTGTGCGAAGCCCTCTCTCTACAGCCTAGTCCCCAACACCTTCTCCAGTTTCAAACCCTACTGTCCCCCTATATGTGTCCCATGCCCCAGCCAAGTGGGGGCTCTCATCATTCCCTCTTCCCCCCAAATGCCTCCTGCAAGATCACCCCCAAAGTCCTCCACCTTCGCACCCCCAGAGCAAGGGCAGCCCTGTGCTCACTCATCAGGGAAGGGAGGTGGAAAGCAAACGGGCCGCCCAGCCCTTGGTCCTGTCCTTTAGCTACGGCTTTCCCTCACTTCCCGAGGGAGGGAGCGGCACAGAAAAGGGGGGATGCTCGGACTGGACACACTCTCTTTCAGGAGCAGTGGTGCTTCACATACGAGGAAATCCTCCCCTTTCCAGCCTTAACAGCCACACTTTATCCAGAGGCAGGTTCACTGCAACAGAAATCCCTGCTTTTCTACGGCTCCATCCGCCGCCAACTTGCCAAGGCCTGGGGGAGACTTAACATGATTAAAATTTTAGAGCATTTAAGATGCTTAAAGGAAAGGCATCCTTGGAGTGCAAAGCATCAATGGGGGGGGGGGCAAACTATGGGAGGAGTGGAGAGATCTACACAAATGCAAATGCACTGATTTTTGACAATATTATGCAGAAACTGATTGACCTCACACCCCAGACTCAGCCTTGCGCCCCAGATAGTGCGGCAATGGCCCTTGCTCCTGTCTTCCTTTATTAGATCTGCAACCTGAGGTGGGGTGGCTTTCTGGGTTTTGCCAAGTGAAGAATAACCATCCCGAGAAGAGTTATTTAACCGGCAGGGCACACAGTGACAAGGCCGGGAGGGGGTGCTGAAGCAGCAGAAACACCAGACCCGCGCCCGTCAGACAATCCCCCAAAGCCTAATCCTGAAGCCTGGTACCCCGTGAAAAACGCCAGGGCAGAGAGAAATTGGCTCAATGTGGAAGGAGAGTCTTGACTTACTATAGCGTAGCGTCGAGCAAGAGAAGAAACATCCATTCCACTTGCATCTTAAAAAACTATCGCTAGTATTTAAATTCTGCCTTAACTTGCATACCACGTGATCTTTTTTCATGTCCATCCTTTGCAAGCTAAAAAAAACAAGACAAAACAAAACAAAAAAAAACTACATATTTCCTTTTATCATAAGGATGAACTAAATTTGAAGACTCTTGAATCTTGAAATCCATGAAAACAATTCAGGGGTAAGGAAGACTACGCAGTTTTATACTCTGGATTCGGAAATTCAAATTCAGGCCCTTCAGAACAGTCTCACGGTTTCAAGTTGTATACCAGGGTCCACAACACTAAGTTAATGAGTCTTTTACTGCGATTTCAAAAGCTATTGCATTTACACACCTCTTTCTCAACTGACAAATCACTAACCATTCTAAGGGCTAGGATTAAATTTTATGGTTCGTTGACAGAAAGAATAGAATCCCAAATCACCACTCCATGGATAATTGTTCATTGCCCACGCATTTTTTTTTTTCCTACCTGATCTCTGTACCTTCCCATTGCCACTAGGTCACAAGGAGTTCTTGGATTTTTTTTTTTTTTTAAATTAAGGGTACCACTTCAGGGGTTAACACAGAGGACCCCACAAAACCCAGCAGCTGAAGCCCACCAGGGAGAAATCAGTCTCTCTGGATGCTGAGGCCACACTGTTGCTATGTCTAATCACATGTACTCATGAAAGTGCCAAACCAAGGAAAGAGAAATACCAGTGTGGCTTATTTGTTTGTTTTTCTTTTGCATGAAAGGCAGAAGGCTTTGCCAGGTCCTACCAGCACACCAGGCCATGTGGACCTGTCAAGGCCCATTTTTCTGCAAAGCAAAGTTTTGAGAATAATTCCGGTTTAACTTGACCGTAGTTTTCAAAGGGCTGCACTGCTCCTACTGGATGCCCTGATCGTTACCCTTCAAGAACAAACAAGAGACTTCAGGTACACAGACAGCAGTTCCCTGCATTAAAAAAGGAAAGAAAAAAATGGGCTAAGAGCACACTGCTGGCTCAGAACTAAGCTAGGCCAATTCAGCACATGATAAGACTTTTCATTTCTGCCCCCTCCAGATAAAGCAAACCCAAGACTCAAACAAGATACCTACCTCCATCTAATACCTTCAGGTGAGAATGAATGAATGAATGAGAGAAAGAAACAAACAAGCCAAGGGGGGGAAACCCCTGAAGAAGCCTTGACTTCCCGGGTCTGACTCTCAGGCTAAGAAGTCTGTTCATACAGTCAATCCCGTCTGCCCTGTTCCAGAATACCATTCCCTGGTCCCAGCCCAACCCGTGGTCCATCTCCATTAACTCAGAATTTCCTGGGTTTGCCGAGCCACTAAACGTCACAGTAATGAGGGTTACAGGATTTCGGAAAAGATAACTCGGCTTTCAAAGCCGATTCCCCACCAAACACCACAACCCCGCGGGCAGCCTGCGCACAGCCAAAGCCGTCGGCTCCCAGTGGGCGCCCGGCCGCAGAACCCGGCCACTGGGGCTTCTCTGGCCGCTCGATTTCCTCCCGGGCGGTCCAGGTGGCTTGCACGGTTCCCACGGCCTAACCACTCGGCCCTTGGGAGCCTGCTGCAAGCACAGCCATGGAACAGGGACCATCCCCGCGTAACCGGGCAGCGGAGCAGGGGAAGGCACGCGCAGGGGGCCACCACCGGGCCCCCAGCCGCAACCCCAGGGCCGAGAAGGGAAGATGCTGGAGACGTTGCGGGGGGGGGGGGGGGTCGGGGATATCCGCGACCCGCCTCACTCCCCGCGAAGAGGCGCGCTGGCCCTCCGCTTACACCCGCCCTGGGAGTCCGTTCAATCCCGCACGGGGCTGGCTGCACACCCCCCCACCGCGCCCCCAGAGGTAGCGTACGGAGAGAAAGGGGCAGAGTCCCCGAGCTGCCCCAGACCACCCCTCCCCGCGGGGTGACGAGGGGGAAAAGGGTGAGGGCTGCGGCGGCTTGTATCAAAGGGCTGAGAAGAAACTTGGACTCCTCTCTCCGGTACCTGACACTTTGCAAAGGCAGCCGCCTCTCCCCGCTCTCCTCCCCACCCCCTTTTGTGTGTCCCAACACCCCCACGGCTAAACTTCCCACCGCAGGGGACGGGGCTCCCGGCGGCCGGACAGGACTCAACTTCAATTACGTGCAGCAGACAGAGGGGGACGTGTACAGAGGGGGACGTCTGCGGAGGGGGCCGGGGGGCGACGAGAAAGGCGTCAGGGGTCCCCAGCCCCTGCCGGGCTGCGCCGGGTCGCCCTCTCCCGAGCCGGGCGAGCGCAGAGGGGCCGGGGGCACCCCTGGCCCTGGGGAATCGGTTGGGAGGCCCGGGGAGGGGAGCGGGGGCCGAGCCTAGGTCCGGGCAGAGGCGAGCAGGAGGGGCAGGAGCGCCCCTCGGCGCCCGGCCGGCCACATCGGAGCAGGGGGTCTGCAGCCGGGCAGGGGGCGCGTCGGCGCGGGAGGGGCCGGCGGGGAAAGAGGAGTCGGGGCGGGGGAGGGGGGCCGGGCCCGGGCAGGACGCCCCACTCACCTTCCTGCCGGCGCCGCCGCCCGCGCCCGCGGCCAGCGCGGAGCCGCCCCCCGAGTACATGTAGTAGGCGATGCCCAGCACCCACAGGAAGGCGAAGCAGAGCAGCATCCGCGAGCGCCGCCGCATTCTCCCCTCTCGGCCGCCGGCCGCGGCCGCCGCTGCTCGCGAGTGCTGCCTGGGGCCGGCGCGGGCGGGGAGCGGGCCGGGGGAGGAGCGGAGGAAGGGGAAGGGCGCGGCGGCGGCTCCTCCTCCGGCGCGGGCTGCTGCTCGGCGGCGGCGAAGGCGGCGCGCGCTCGGCGCCCGAGCTCCGCCCCGGGCCGGGAGCGCGGCGCGGCGCCCGAGCAGGAAGCGGCGGCCTCGGAGGCGGCGGGCGGGTCAGGGAGCAAAGGGCGACCAATCGGCGGCGGCTGCGGGGGCCGGGGCGCGGGCCGGAGGAGGGGATTACCGCGTCTCCATGGCTGCGGCACGCGGGGGTTCCGCCGGGAGGGCCTCCGCGGGCCCGGCCGCCGCCCCGCCCCCTCTGCGTCCTCCCCGCCGCTGCCCCTGAGTGACAGGTGGCTGCCCGGCACGGGGCGGAGCGCGCGCACACGTGCGCACACACACGTGCACACGCACCCGGGGCCCTGGCGGTCACGGCTGCCGCGCGCCGCCCCGCCTAGGCTGTCCCCTCTTCGGTCCGGGGTCTTGGGGACCGACTGGGACCCTTAAAGGCCGGCCCACCTGAGCGTTTTCGTGCAATCCCGCCTGCCGGACCCGACTTTGCAGCTGCTCGCTGCAGTTTTCTTACTAATTTTGCAGCAAAACATCCCTGATCCCCAGCTGCCCATTTCATGTGATTATTTAGTCACAGGTGGGAGCCCCCAGGTAGAATAAGAGAGGTCCAGAGAATATTTTTCCGAGAATGGACAGCCCTGAATAGCAGGATTCTTTTGCTTTATTTTGTCTTTAATTAACATGAAAGGGGAAGAAGGGACGCAATATATATATATTTTTCAATCTTTCCCTTTTGATGTGTTGCTTTCTTAAAAGAAGAAAGAAGAGTTAACACAGAAGCATCTCAGGGGGACTCATCTGTCTTGTAACAGAATCTGGGTAACCTTGATGATGCCCTTGCCACACTCAAAGTTTCCCGTGCTCCTAGGAAAGTAAGTAAATGTTACTTGGCACTTGGTATTTCAAAAGTGATTCCATGAGCTTCTCAGTCTGGAGTATGATGGCACCTTCATGAATCTGAATCTCCACTCGCATCTTCAACAAAATGCAAACACCAACAAGCCTTCAGCACTACTGGGAGAGGGAATGCTGTGAACTGAACTTCTAATTACTTCTTAAGTAGAAGAAAGAAAAGACATCAAATTCCAGCAGAGCTCCCTCCGCCGTTGCCAAGGACTTAAGTGAAGTCCCGGCTTAAAACCTCTACAAAGAGAAAGCCCAACACCAAGAACTAAAACTGAACACAGGTCGGGTACTTAACAGGGAAGAGGTTTGAAAGAGAATGGGACAGGAGGTGGCAGCCTTGAAGAAGCCTTGCTTCTGGGAAAAGTCAAACAAATAAAGAAAGAGTAGTGCCCTTTGGAGGCCTGGCAGTGAAGGGATAGAAGGAAGTAAAAAGGGCAAATTAAAGATCCTACAGAAATAAAAGACAGCCAGTCCCTCCCCCAGACACCGTGACCTATTGAAAACTGCACTTCACTCTACAGATAGAAGAGAACATTCCTGAACTGGGAGCCCTGTGTCAAAATTCCCAGTAACAGAATAGCATCCGATTGGCAGCATACGAAGCTACCATTAAAAGAAAATAAAAACGAAAAAGGAATCACATTTGTTTTGATGAAAAAAAAATGAATCATAACATTTTCAGCTGATGAAAACACACACACACACACACACACACACACACACCCCTAAAACCAGGAAGCAGGAGGAATTGTAACACCACCCGTCAAACCACCAAACTGACCAAAGCATTATGTGGACACGTGCACACATCCAGACGTACATATACGCATACGTGGGGACAACTACAATGAGAAATTCGAAAACTAGGAACAAACTAGACAAACATTAGAAGAAATGCAACAAAAGTTGATCAAATTCAGGGAAGAAGTTGAAAATAAGACAGAACTCTCTGAAAGACCGAGAATAATTACAAAATGCCCATGGGAGAATAGAGTCAAATAAAAATAGCTAAAAGGACACTAAAGAATGGCAAGAAAATAATCAAGACATTGAAAATAACTTAAAGAAAGAAGCAAAGTGCTCAAAGAGAAGTGGTTGAAATGAAAGGAAAGGAGGACCAAAACGCCTATAACCGGAGTCCTCAACACAGAAACACCAGGGAAGCAGAATTAGTATTAAAACTATAACCTCGGGGCTCCTGGGTGGTTTAGTGGGTTAATCCTCTGCCTTCAGCTCAGGTCATGATCTCAGGGTCCTGGGATCGAGCCCGGCATCAGGCTCTCTGCTTAGCAGGGATCCTGCTTCCCCTCCTTCTCTCTCTGCCTGCCTCTGCCTGCTTGTGATCTCTGTCAAATAAATAAATAAAAATCTTTTAAAATTTTAGAAAAATAGGGGCACCTGGGTGGCTCAGTGGTTGGGCCTTTGCCTTTGGCTCAGGTCATGGTCTCGGGTCCTGGGACCAAGCCCCACGTCCTGCTCTCTGCTAAGCGGGGAGCCTGCTTCCCTCCCTCTCTGCCTGCTGCTCTGCCTACTTGTGATCTCTCTATCAAATAAATAAATAAAAATCTTTATAAATAAATAAATCTATAATCTCAGATGTAATATTCAATGTAACTACATCATGATGGATAATACTGCTTGACCCATTTGAAAGTTATTAACAGAGTAGGTCCTAAGAGTTCTCATTACAAGGAAAACAACTTTTTTTTTCTTTTTTTATCCACGAGGTGATGAATGTTAACTTTATTGTGGTCATCATTTCGTAATATATGTTAGTCAAGTCATTATGCTGTACCACTTCTATGGTGGTTTATACAGTGATGTCAACTATAAAATTAAAACTGGGGAAAGCTGTAATCCTGGAAGAGAATTCAAAAATAAGAGAAAAATTAAATTGTATATCAGAAGTAACTTCCATGTACCCCGAAAAACTGTTCTGGAATAATCAACTCCAAAACTCCATAGTTTTATCTTAGTAAAACTATTGGATTTTAAAGGCATCAAGATCAAATTACTTATAGAGATCACAAATTTAGGCTGGTATCAGACATCTGAAGAACATTACACAAAGCCAGGGAGCAATGGAGCACCATTTACAAGAAACAAGAAACTCAATGCGAGAAAATATCAGCCAAGGATTTTTGTGTGCAGCTATAAACACAGAGAAAGGGACTGGGTGCAAAAATTCAGAGACCAGTATATGCCTTTCCTGGAGAGTAAGATTCCCCCCATCCAAGAGAAAACAGAGAAAAACCAACAAAATGACCGATGGAGAGCATTTATATATTTAATTGGCAGAAGAATAGTATGTACACATTATACTTTATGGTAAAGTAAGATACCAGCAGCTAAAAGTAGTTGAAGGAGAAGGGAGAGAGAAAAGAGAAAACAGAATCTTATCACTGACTATTAAACAGGCAGTAAGTGGAAGTCAAAGGAGACCCTATAAAATTCACAGCCAGATGTTGAAAGGTTAGGAAACAAGGAAGGAAGGAAGGGTAATATAAAAATATAAAACTTGGCCACAAAGCAAAATATATATATTCCCCAAAATCAGAAACCCTATTCTAAAACCATAAGAGAAAAAATTTTAAAATAGCAAAAAATATATACCAGATAGTGAGGGGGGGAGAAAAGGAGTAAATACAGCATACTACATGTGGCAATTGTCAAAGAAAATAATATGACAGAGCTGAGACTAAACCATATCATAATATCATTTACAAAGGGGTTTAATTTGCATATTAAAATATTTTCAAGGGGCGCCTGGGTGGCTCAGTCAGTTGATCATCAACTTGATTTCAGCTCAGGTCATGACCTCAGGATCCTGGGATTGAGCCCCCAGTCAAACCATGCACTCAGTGGGGAGTCTGCTTGAGGATTCTCTCTCCCTCTCCCTCTGCCCCTCGCCTTGCTCATTATCTCTCTCCCTCTCTCAGATAAATAAATAAATCTTAAAAAAAAAAAGATTTTCAAATTTGTTTATAAAAGAATACCCACATCTAGAGGCGCCTGGGTCGCTCAGTCATTTGAGTGTCAGACTCTTGGTTTAGACTCAGGTCATGATCTCAGGGTCCTGAGATGGAGCCCCGTGTCAGGCTCTGTGCTCAGCAGGTTGTCTGCTTGAGATTCTCTCCCTCTGCTCCTCCCCCACCAAAATAAATAAATAAATCTTAAAAAAAAAAAAAAAAAGGGAAAGAAAACCAAAATCTAAAAAAAGCAGGAACTGTGATTGTAATATCAAAGTATAACATTGAAGAACAATTTATAACTAAAACATCAAGTCCCAGTGAAAGTATGTGTCAGTTAGGATTTGGTCAGAGGAGTAAAACCATTATTAATGTTGTAGAGTCAGGGCCATATGATAGAGTTTAAACTTTGTACAGTGTTGGGGGTACAAAAAAAGTCAATGGAAGTCTATTTCCATTGTATGTAGCAACAAATCTGAGGTCACTATAACTTTCAGACCTGGCAGTCCAAAAAAAAAAAAAATAATAATAATAATAATAATAATGAGGAGGAGGAGGAGGAGGATGATGATGCTAGATGTGGTGGTCTGAAGTCATTGAAGTCACTGGGGCTTGAGGATGTGAGGCCAAGGAAATAAGCCAGTCTTAGGGAGACAAATACTATAGGACCCCCTGATATAAGGTACCTAGAGTAGGACAATTTCTATGTACAAAGTTTCAGCTTGGGAAGAAGAAAAAGTTCTGGAGATGGATGGTGGGGATGGTTGCACAAGCCTGTGAAAGTTCTTAATGCCACAGAGCACTTAAAAGTGGTTCAAATGGTAAATTTTATGTTATCTATATTTTACTTTACTTTGAAAAGAGACATGACTAATTGGACAGAATTATTTCCACATGCATCATAGATAAAGGGGTAGTATCCTAACATAGAAGGAACTCAGACATTGAGAAGGGCAAAAACACATATAAAGACAATTCACAGTAAAGATCTTAAGAGTCTGTAAACATATGAGAAGGTGTTCTACTTCACTCATAGTAGAGTTGCAAATTAACACTACAGAGACACT